TCCAGAGAAGGGCGACAAAGCTAACAAAGGGGTTAGAGGACCTAAACTATGAGGAAGGTCTTCAAGCGTTAAACTTGTTCACTCTGGAGAAGAGGAGACTGAGAGAGGACATGATATTAATGTACAAATTGTTTAATGGTGATGAATAATCAGTAGTAAACTTCTTACTGTTAGTTCAGTCAAGAAGACAAGAGGCCACCATATGAAACTAGAGAAAAGGTTTAATCCTAAACAGCGAAGGGGATTCTTTACTGTGAGAGCTGTAAAATGTTGGAAGTCCATTCCACAGACAGTGGTATCAGCTGAGAGTATGGAATCATTCAAGAACTATCTAGACACTTTTCTCAGCGCAACAGATATACAGGGGTACAGGTAATCATAGTAACAAAGACTCATAAACACATGCGCACACAAAACCCAAAGGTTGAACTCGATGGACCTGTGTCTTTATTCGACTATAACAACTATGTAACTATAAGATTTCTAAATAAAGACTGAAGGATAAAGAGCCCTAATTTAGTGTATTAATGTACTTGTGGATAAATGGAGCTTGCTGAAGGAAGACCACTTACATTGTTAGAATTTCATTAATTCCCCGAAAAAATTCCATCCTGCTCCTACGAATTTTTTTTTCCGTCACTACAGTCGAAAACGATTATCGATTTGAACCCATTAACTATAAGTAAATCAAATGAACAAGTGCTTTCTATTACTAGTCTAACAGTGCATACCCATCTTAAAGCTGGCCATACACCTATAGATTTTCTCTAGATTTTTTTTCTATCAGCCTATGGTCAGATGGAAAAAGTGCAACAGATTCCTCTATCTACGCTAAACTAAGTGGATGGAGGTATCTGCCACTGGACCAAGCTTCAGTATCTTGCTAGTCGGCCCCGCTGGCTCTCAAAATACCTGAACAAACTGATTGGATGCAGGCATTGTTCAGGTGTTTTGAGAGCCAGTGGGGCCGACTAGCAAGATACTGAAGCTTGGCCCAGCGTGAGATTCCTCCATCCACACAGTTTATCGTAGATGGAGGAATCTGTTACACTTTTTCCATCTGACCATAGTAAATATGCAGATAATCTATAGGTGTATGGCTGGCTTTGCTCTATATTGCAATGCAGCAGAAAGTCTCTTGGGGAAGGAAAGCCAGGAGTTCTGGAGGTCAGATCTTGCAATTAAAGGACCTAATGGGAGCCTGTCAGGATGGAAATATAGGCACTGCCATTGTTGACTTGTGTTACCGCCACAGCTTTTACCCTGACCTTAGCTTGGCTACCTAGCTAGACTCTGAACTGGAACATGAATGGAAGTTCAGACTTTTCTGGCTGCATGCTTGTTCTAGGTCTGTGACTGGATAGTGAAGCACAAAGCAAGACCTGCCCTGGAGCCTGTATCTTTAGCTGCTCCCACATTGTGATTCTTAAGTTCTATGTGTTATGTTTATAGATCAGGGCTCAAAATTTCCACTCGCCCCCTCGCAATTTGCTAGTGAAAATTGCGTGGGGGCGAGTGGAAATGAAGCCTCCTCGGGGCGGTTTCTCTCCTGTTCACCGACCTGATGACAGCGCTCCCTCGTCCGTCCGTCTAAGCAGGGGGGCGCAGGAGGGAGCGCTGCTTGCTGTCAGGATGGCGGAGCGGTGAGGGGGAGAGAAGCCGCGCCCGCAGCTGTCAGGATGGCGGAGCAGGTTGGAGATCGGAGCCGCTGTCATCCTGTCAGTTTCAGGATGACAGCGGCTCTGTGCGTGGCAGAGCGGGGGATCGGTAAATATCATTGATATTTACCGATCCTCCGTGTGAGAAGGACAAACACTGGAGCGATCGTCTGATCACTCCAGTGTTTGTAAATAACTGGGGACACATAGTACTATGTGTCCCCAGTTATGAATGAACAGCATGTGATTTACATCACAGCCTGTTCATTCAAGATTTTCTCAATGGGGAGAAACACTCAGTACAGAGGCTCCTCCCCATTCAGAAACAGCTGATAGTAAATATTTTACTATCAGTGTCTGAATGAATGGGAAGCCTCTGTACTGAGTGCTTCCCATTCACTGAGTGCTGAGGCTGCTGAAAAAGAAATTGAGGATTTGGTGTCCTCAATTTCTTTTCTATTTTAAAAGGGAAATGTCAGGGGTCTGTTTGGACCCCTAATATTTCCCCGAAGCCCCCCCAACAGTAAAAAAATAAATAAATCATAAAATAAAATAAAAAAATTAGAATGTAAAAAATTATTTTTAAAAAGTGAAAACTGCTCCCCCCCACACGCATATTATTAGACATGTGCGAAGACTAAAAATGAATTTCAGATGAAATGTGTATGTGTAATGCTCTGTGCGTTGTGCTGTGGCTGTATGTGTAATGCCCTGTGCGTTGTGCTGTGGCTGTATGTGTGTTGTGCTGTGTGCGCGTTGTGCCCTGTGTGTGTTTGTTTGTGTTATGCAGGGCAACTGGTGGCGAGTAACTTTGAAGACCTGGCTAGTAGCTCAGGACCTGAAATTTTGAGCCCTTTTATAGATTATACTGAAATGAAGGAAATATATATGTAGGCCCCCTTCACCTACTCAAACAGATTCAATAGGACCATGCAAGGAACAGTAATTTACCTACAAAACAAAGCAACCTGTAGCATGTCTCTTTCTGTTTACTGCAGTTAAGTGAATAAAAAAAAAAAATCTATATGGCTGCTATGGGTACCTGCATGCAACACATCATTGTTTGCATGGTCTTCATGGCCAGATTTGTACTTTCTACAGTACCTCCTGTACTGCAGCCAGCTGGCTAGCCTAACTGTCACCTTAACAGGTTTAGCTATCACAGCTTTACAAGGCATATATGGCTGGTAGTGGAGAAGGTGAAAGGCAATTCACTTTCTCTGTGCTGGTGCACCATAAAATGACAGATTGGGCCTTATCTGCCTGTCTATAATAAACAATCCAACAAACAGTAAACAGAATAGAACATGCGATGTGCAAAAAAGCCCCTGTAAGTTTTCTTTTTTTATATATGTCTGTGTCCCTTTGGTAGATTTTTCTCTCACTTCCTCTCATAAAGACAGAGCAGGAAGTGGGGAATCTCTCCAAAGTAAGGAAAATAATCTCAGACAATAGATGCCAGAACAAGTTTCCCCACTGGAAGATTTCCTCACTATTCCTATTCCCGTTGCAGCTCAACATTTTAGAATTCCCTTCACTTTCTATCCCAGTTACAATGATCATCAGGACATGACGATGTGAGGATGAATTTCCCCAGAAGAGACAGAGACTGCAACATGGGTTCTTTCCCTTCCACACTCTATCCAAAATGGAAAAAAAGAATCCCTGGGATATACTTTGAGACTGTGTGGTTTGATCAAAAGGTCACAAGAATGAAGCTGTTATTTTATTAGAAAAATAAACATTACAATAATTTTTTATAAGGACATATTCCATAAGTACATAGAATGTATTTTATTACAGCTTATTTCATGAAATGTTCAGCCTAATGCAATACAACCAAACTCCAATATATTGTGTATAGATATTTTCTAACACTACATGAACATAATAACTTAATAAATATGTATTAATACCCTAGGGCAGGGGGTAGCAAACCTCCGGCCCTCCAGCTGTGGTGGAACTACAAATCCCATGAGGCATTGCAAGATTCTCACAGCCACAGGCATGACTTCCGAAGAGAGATGCATCATGGGATTTGTAGTTTTACCACAGCTGGTGGGCCGGAGGTTTGCTACCCCCTCCCTGCCCTAGGGTATCAGCGATTCCAAGTTGTCACAATGCCTTTTTTTTAAAGGAAACATGGAGAATGCCATTGCCAACCTCTTCTGAAAATGCTAGATGATTTGCTGACATGGTGACTCTCAAGCTTTATTGCATTAAGTCACCATAAACAAGAATACTAATATGGACTTCTCTGAATTCCCTGATGGGCATTCTTCTTCCCTATCAGTATTTCATAAAGTACTGATATTAGAGGACATCCGGGGAACATGCTTTTCCAGAAGGTCAGCAATGCTGGCCCCTAAGTTTCTCTCCCGACAGTCGTTTCACTTCAAGTTATAGTAGATCTGTTATAGCTGAGGCAAGATTACAGTGCAATGAAATCTCTGCTGCCATTGCTACCCCTGTTTCCCCGAAAATAGGACCTACCCCGAAAATAAGACCTAGTTGTGACCATTTCCAGGGCCGATGGTGGCATAAGGGGGAACTTGACGAGCCGCAGGAGAGGCAGGAGAGAATCAGCAGTGCCAATGAAGCCAGCGCTAGAGGAAGCAGAGCCGCATAAGCCAATGCTTCCTCTATAGCGCCTGATCCTGTCACAGGCGGAGTGATACCAAATGCACTTCGCCTGTGAGGAATCGATAGTGAAAGTGCGCTTCGCTCATTCTGGCCAGAGATTGGTTACCAAATTGCTCTTGGAAAGGTAAGCCACCCCTGATTGCCCTGATCACCCTATTCTTAATTTTGCCATTTTGGATTATTTAATTTGGATATGGATTTGCATTAACTTTGGATTGTTGTACATTTAAAAAAAAAAAATAAGACCTACCCCGAAAATAAGACCTTGTGTGTTTTTTTGAGCCCAAAACAATATAAGACAGTGTCTTATTTTTGGGGAAACACGGTATTACTCAGCAGTGGTTTTGAACTTTGAGCCTTCTAATTGTAGGAACAGGTTATGAGCCAGAAGCTACAAAGGAGCATGCCTTCTGAGTACTTCCCTGAGCCTGGACACTGCTGGGAATTATTTAACATGGCAGCACTCAAAATAAATCACTTGTGTCACTTATCTATGTGTCATATATGTGTCAATGTATCACTTATCTGGACACTATGCAAAAATATGTTACTTTTTAGTGAATGTCTAAGTGCTCTTTTGTAGGTGACATACTCTCTTTAAGTAAGGACTGGAGCCATTTTAGAATGACAACGCAGCTGTTTTTCACCAATAAATAAGATCTATGTCTTTAAGAAAATTACCGCTTTCCATCGTTCAGATCTGCTCAAGGTACACTTGCCTAGAGTGATATACTGACATCACAATAAATTTCACATGCAAGTAGACAAAGTGAACAGATGGTAGATATGCATTCAAGCATAGTGTATGTTTGTCATATATGTGGAGCTGTGAGCTATTGTTTGCAGTCACTCCCTTCAATTCCTAGCACATACATGTATGACATAGTGGGCAGGGACCTTCATACATCATCAATCTGTGTATTTCCATGTCAGTGAATGGCAGATCCCAGTATAAGATCTGGGTTTTCTATTGTTTTCACACTTCTTCAGTGGTGGATGTCACACTGGATACTCTACTCTTTGTCTGGACATCATCATTGCTCTTTTTATCTGTTCGTAAGACACGAACATTACAACATTCCATGAGCCCAGTCGTAAGAAAGAGGGGACAAACCTGTAGAGAGACAATACAAAATGATACATTGTTCTTTTTATGGTGGTACTGATTATCTAAATTGTATACTGTAATATTTATATAGCAACTGCTTTTCCAACTACCATAACTTTAGCTGACCCTTTACTGAACATTAAAACAGGTATGTATATACATTGTAGGCATCATATTAAAGCTGGATCACTATTTTCACTTCTCAGGGTGAATTTCTTCTTAGACTGCAGACATGAGAGACTATAGCATATCCACTTAGATTTTAGACATATCTGCGGCTGCTAACCTTTCCCAACCATGCACTGCATCTAAACCCTATTTTGTGGTAAAATTAAGACTCCATAGCAGCCATATTGTCTCTCCATATGCAACCATACATACCTTTCTGTTGCCCACCCTAATTCTAATGACATCCCTCTTGTAGATGATCTAAGTTACAATAATTGACAATTTCCAGCACTGGCTACAGTGCAAATTTCTAGAACATTGTGGAATTTTGTTTTTTTTTACTGCCCAGAGCAAACAACATGAGAGGCTTTCATAATTATGCAGAAATGTACCCTTTATAAAAGGCTGTTGGTCCCTCTTTGGTGATCATGGTCAATGCACAGTTCAAGGCTGACTTGTACTGTCCAGGAGGTGAGTTCATGTATCGGGTTTTTACCACATCCACCGGGGAAGCGATGACAGTGGTGCAGAAGCCAGCTCCAAATGCGGACACAAAATGGCAAGGAAGGTTATCTAAGTAAACAAGTAAAAATCATGTGAATACCATATTAAAATGCATGAACTTCGTTTCTGGGAAATATATACATTTACTTTACATGTTGAACTGTAATTTTACCTGTCAATAATTTGTGGTTCAGCAAAGCTTCCTTTATCAGGTCATAGGTCACAAGCTCAGTGCAGTTGACGATTGCATTTCTTGTAACATTTGGAAACGTTCCTGCATGACATAAATAGATTGGCAGAATTTAGATGTGCTTGTGGTACATCTCATAACATGCTAGAAGAAGAGGAGGATCTGATAGTATGAGTGGACAGGCTAGTGCTCCAGTGGTCTCTATAGCTTTAGGATGTACTCACACTTTGCATGGCTGAACCAAACTGTGCAGGAGTACAATTGTCCCCCCTCACCACTCCCCCGACTGGTCTGCACTCACACTATGTTATAAGAAAACATTCCTGGGCATGCTTACATTATCTCCTCTGCCAACTAGACCAGAGCGATCCCTCCTTCTGTGATCATTGAGATTTCAGTACTCGGGTATGGTTTGCACTTACACTAAAGCAAACCATATCGGATTCCAAGTAAACCGTGTCCCTCACCACCTCTTCTAAGTGGTCCCAGGAACAGTATGCTTAACCACTTCCAGGCATGAGCTTTACACTACACAAACCAATTGGACTAAGGGGGTGGACTGTGCCAGGACATGGTTAAAAAACACCAAGTGTGCTTTAGTCAGCCTTCCATCACATCTTCTAACCAAATAGCTAAAGCTTTACCCATCTCTCTGTCACAACATTTCTATATATCCAGTATTTTTAACTTGATGATAATCAAAGCCCCGCTCATAAAATGGTAGTTTTGTATTCTAAACATGTTCCTAGAAAATATTACACCTCTGGCCTCCCTAAAGAAGTGCTATATGAAAGTGTGAGGATATTTCTATAGGTCTTTATAGACAAATGCTGTATATGTACCTTTCCAAAGGCCTCTCATGCCCTCTTCCCTGGCAATGGTTTTGTAGGCATTCAGAGTACCACTGTATCTCTTCTTCGTTCCTTTAAGGTTGGCCTGTGCTTGAAATCTGACTTTCACCACATCTGTTGGCTGGGCAATAGTAACCGCCAGTGCCCCCGTTGTACAACCAGCCAGTATCCTGCTGCCAATGCCTGCTTCTGCAAAAAGAGAAATATGCTTACAAATGGCCCAGCAATAACTTATTATGAGAAGAACAGGAGTGATACATGCACAATATACGGCTTTTATTACCAGTTATACACTTACTCTCTTTCCCATTGGTGTAGAAGAGTTTCACTGTATCATAAAGACCAATTCGGATGGAAGCGAAGCTCATTTGTCTCTGCAGGCCAGCCACTAGCCCATTGTACAGGCTCTTTGGACCTTCTGTCTTGATGATGGTGCTTATGGTTCCAAACACTCCTTTGTATCGGATGCCATTCGCTACTCCAGCCACTGCTGACTCTCCTTGAATCTTAAATTGGAATATAACAGAGACATGACCATTTGCTCTATTGCAAAATTAATGTTTAAAAATAATAACTTTCAAGTCAGTTCCTGGCTAGAGCTGGGCTAGTAAGCACATATTTCATTTAGGTAACTAGACATACATTTGGGGACATCTGTTAAAGCAGTTGCATATCAATGTGCAATTTCCGTCCAAAAACATTAGCATGAAGCTATGGATCTGTTTTGCAATTAAAGCGACAGACTTAGTTCTCTGTGACTGTACAGCCAAATAGTGACTGTCTGACTAATTTCTCTCTTCTGCCGCAACTGGGGGCACCTATTTTATGAGATAATTTTACCACATATCAGTTGCAGAACTAAGAAATGCTATGGACCACTTTTAAACAGGTGCCGATATTTTAATTCATTTTGAAACTTGCATACAGACAATAAATCTGTTCCTAACATTCAATAAAAAATATAAGATGTGACAGATTAGCAACTGCAATCATTAAGACACTATTGGTACATTTTCCCCATTATGTTCTTTACCCAGTTCAACCAATGCCATTACAAACACAAGAACAGCTCTTACCTGCAGTCTGACTTTGGCTGTGTCCAATGGGAAGGTAAAGAGATCAGCTATACAGGCAGCTGTGCCTGCACCTATGAATTTGACACCTGGTGTTGGAGGAATGTCAGAGGGTCTCAGTCCAACCATTTTGGAATTATCAATTCAAGACTGCACAGGAACACAATATAAAATAATCAATAATGATGCAAAGTTCAGTGATTATTGCCATCAAGTTACAAATAGAGATGTGTTAAATAATAACCTCTGCATATTCCACAAAACTAAACTATTCCTCAGCAAGACCTCCATTTCTGGAAGAAACTTGCTTCACATTTTGAATTATGATAGTATGTGTTCTGTTCTAATTTTAGACTGCTATGAGCAATCGCCAGCTGCAATAACCACTTGCAGTCAGAAAACTAGAAGAAAAGTCATACATTCACTTTGCATAAGCAGTTTTCTGCTAAGCTGATTTACAGGAGGTACTAGATTACATGCAGGCTATGTTTATGGAGTATTCAGCAGAACAATGCTACTACTTACTTTTCAAGATGGGAAAATTATCTGCTTAGTGTTCTTGCTGGTTCTGGACTCCCCTGTGACTATCCATTGACGAGGACTCTTTATATCCTGGCAGCCAGGAATTATGTCATCCAATGGGGATGCTCAGGAGGAGGGTTTACCTTTGACAGGTGCACACACCCATTTACTAGGCTCATCCCTCAAGAAAGCAACATTCCTCTGACCCCAGAATTCCAGGTACTACATAGCACATAATGGAACTATCAAATCCCACTCATTAATTAAGGTGAAGTTCATTGCCTTAAAGGCTGAAAAAAATTAATGTTCAGGCTTCAGTATTGCTTAACGATTTTATTTAAAAAAATGTAACCCTATAATTCCCACAACATCCATTTTTATTCTAATTTTTTTTTAATCTCTTCCCTGTTTCTGCCTATCCTCTGCAATTCACTTTCTACTTATTTATCAATAATGTGTTTGCTACAACCAAGGGCTGGCTCACCTGTTCACCTTTTAAGATGTGTGCCTTTTTATTTGGGATTTTCATGGGTTTCTAATGGGTTTTCCTGTTTTGTATGCTTTTTATTCCGAGAAGAGTGTAATCCTGCATAAAAATGCATGTAAAACACATGTATAGTGTATACAATCATGACTATTACATGTACTCCACATTCAGTTCTATTCATGTGTATGGCTGATTTGGTTTTGTCAAAATGCAGAAAAATAGTTTTGCTGATTTATGAAGCTTTTTAAATGTAACTGAAAACAAATGCATATAATGTGGTGCGAGAATTCCTACAAATGATACAGGATGGTCGCTTGATGAGTGAAGAGAAATAACAGCTTCACTTTATTAACTAAATTAGTGAAAATTCACGTTGAAAAAGGGGCCATTCCTGTACTTCTTTGGGCGTAGGGCGTTTTGTAGCGCGTTCATGCGGCCTGTAATACGCGCAGTTGTGAACCATACCAATAGGAAATAATGGGATTTCGGTGTTTGAGCGTTTTGGAGAGCGTTCGACGCGCTACAAAACGCCAAGGTCTGAACCAGGCCTAAGAAATATTTTTAAAGGTTTTTTTTACCTCACAGTGTTGTTATGAGGCCAATGCATCTTACTGCTATGTCTGTATTCTATAGTAACTGTGCAATACCTCTCGTCCTACTATTGAATAAAACTGTAATAAATCTTATGACATTTTTACAGGGATAATGCAAAGTCCATTAAATACACTTTTATTTATTAGAAAATAGCAGTGTTGTCAATGCATCAAAATTCCATCACATTTCTTGAATAGTCATGAGCAAAATTGAGAGTTTTCATTCATCCCAAAATTTTACAGAAAAACTGAAGATTTTGGTAACATTTTGCTGTTTTGGCTATATGCAGTAGGAGTCAATGGGGAAGGTGAAATTAATGTGGTTTTTGCTGGTATTTATGGGTGCAGTGGGCTTTACATGGCTCCTAAAGGGGTCACAGAAGCTTCTTTTAACTATCCTGGACATGTTCTTGTGTCAAAAAACCCCTTTGTTAGTCTCATAATTTTAGTTTTTTTGTTTTTTACAGAAAGAAAAAAATCAGACAGTAAAAAAAGTCAAATAAAAATGTAAAGTGATGGTACACAAATCCCCTAATTACACTTCTCTGAAAAAAAAGATAAAGAAAAATAATAGGTTGAGTAAAACTGAAAGTTTCTGTTTCAGCAAAATTTCACTGACGGTAAAATTTGCAATTTTGCGACAACAGTGGCATAGTGGTTAGCACTTCTGCCTTGTAGCACTGGGGGTTCCTGGTTCGAATTCCGGCCAGGCCACTATCTTTAAGGGGTTTGCATGTTCTCCCTATGGTTGCGTAGGTTTTCTCCAGGTACTCTGGTTTCCTCTCACACTCCAAAGACATGCTGGTAGGTTAATTGGTTCCTGTCTAACTTGGCCCTGTATGTACAGTATGTGATATAACGACCTTAGATTGTAAGCTCCTTGAGGGCAGGAACTGAATGTTCACTGTGTAAAGCGCTGCGTAAATTCTGGGCACTATATAAATACCAATAATAGCACAAAAAATCAGTTTTGCTGAAATCACTACTTTCATCATTATTCATAAATGGTAAAAAAGAAAACATGTTCTCAATGGTATGCAATTGCTGTGACGTCACCACACTTTTAGTCCACTAACACTTGCTCTTGTCCATGTTACTGAATGCCCGTACTTCAGTACGGACAGGGACAGGCAAGAAGACTCTGCATGAGCCAGAGCGTTGCACCTGTGATCTACTGCAATGCTGAAAAAAAATGTAATAAGACTGAATATTTTTGGTTGAAAGGGTGGACTTTGCCTTTAAGCTTCTAAGTAGCTGGCTGATCTCTAAGTGTCACAGTGTTCCACAAAAAGAGAATGTTATTTTTTTAAGTGCCTCTCCAGTGTGCCAGCTTGCCTGAGACAGTTTTGCTTTACACTTTACACATCTGCATTCATTTTACAGTAATCGTCTCTTTTTATCTACATTTGTCACAAAATATATACATGCATCAGAAGCGCAAATATTTTTGTAACAATCATATATAAATATATATAACTTTACACAGACACTGAATATAAGACATAACACATTTACATCACCATAGCTGTATCAATTCAAACTACAATAGCATATACTAGAAAATCTCATTTTAAGGCACAAAGAGAATAAAATGCATACATGTCCAAGGGTTCTGGGCACCGGGACAGAGCGATTAAAGTGATTTGTAACACTCATGTTAAAGGTCTGTATTATATGATCTTTGCTAATCAAGTCATGTGATTTTACATACAGTGCATCTGAATTATGCAGTCTGACGTGTAATATTTGATATAATAGTCATTTTTCCTATTCAGTTTCCTCTTAGCACACAGTCCTCAGTCTCCTGCCACTTAGCCGGTTAGAAAACCAGCTTCTGTCTTTCAGCAGAGGCTCGTCTTTCCCAGCCAATAAAAGAAGAGGCTTGTGCATTTGCTCCAATTAGTCGTTGACCCGCTCAGTGGGATGACGGTGATGTCTTCCTGATGGAGGCAGTACAGGGGTGTGTGATGTGACGGGCACACAGGCCAAAAAAACAACTTTCTTAATAAGTAACTTGCCCGGTACAGAGATCACTCCTTTAAACCTGTAATGACTGATAGGAGCAAGGAAAACACCTTGTTTTCTGCACCGCTGTCGAAAGTTCCTTAGCACCACTGCCATTGCAGCAAACATGATCTGTACATTTTTATAGCATACTGCCAGTTATAAAATGATAAACTGTGACATTTGATAAAGTGTTTTTCACTACCTAATAGCCCTTGCCTCAGTTTAAAAACATGTCATCTTTCACATAAGCTAGCAGTTTTGTTTGTTTGTTACAGAATCAGAAAGGAAACTACAGCCATAGTAGTCCATGCGACTACTATAGGGCCCAGAAAAAACAGGGGGCCCAATGCTGTCTGGCTACCTATTTTTTTTACAGATAGCAATAGTCTCAGTTTAAAAGCATATTGTCAGCTTTTACATAACATAGAATTTGTGTTACAGAATCAAAAGGGAGATTTCAGCCATAGCAGACCATGTGACTGCTATGGGGCCCAGTAATACAGGGGGGCCAAATGCTGTCTGGCTACACTAGGGTTGCCACCCGTCCGGGATTCATTCAGACTGTCTGGGTTTGGAATCCTGTGTTCGGGTGTCAGCCCGCCTCACACCCGGGCACATTATTCACGCCGGACTTGTGGCTCCCTGCTGGCGTAGGTGTTCTATCAATCCCTTGGACTAGTAACTTCATCAGACTTCCAGGGGTGTGTCCAGGGGCATGTGAAGGGCTCGGTCCTGCGCGCAAGCGCACTGCAGCAACAGGTCCGTGAATCTCATTGACCATTTCATCATATCATTGGCTCAAGGACTCGGCCATCCACGCAACCGCACTAAGGCAACCAGCCGCGCTGTCACTTGTTGAGTCGGCTGAGTACCTCCCTCTGTTTCTCTCCTCTGCGGCTGTGACTAGGTGGGACAAAGTGACATCAGGGAGAGGGAGAAATCATCCTCTGTCTCCACCACATGCTGTCATCTGGGACCAAATAGCCGGCATCACCCCAGTCTCATTCTCCAGTCTCCACTACTAACAGGTAATCATATATATTATATTAAACATCAATTGAAAAGGGGGGGTTAGTATTGCACATAAGAGATGACCCATAAAAAATGCCACAGGTAACCTGTGACATCTTTTGTAGGGGCATCTTTTATGTGCAATAGTACAAATCTGAACTCCAATACAGATGTCACCAGCACCAAGATTCCATGTTTAGTGATGGGCCGAATAGGCCCGAGTTTGGTTCGTATTCGAACATTCAAACTCAATGCAGGTCAATGGGGGTAGAACTTTCAAACACGATTGTCCACTTTAAGAGGGCTTATATGCAAGTTATTGGCCATAAAAGGTGTATGGGGGTCTGGGTACTGCCCCGGGGGACAGGAATCAATGAAAAAAAATGAAATACAGTTTTTAAAGGAGCAGTGATTTTTAACATCACTTAAAGGGTAACAATAAAAATGAAAAATTCCTCCAAATATCATGCCTGGGGGGTCCCCTTAATCTGCCTGTAAAGTGGCTCATCTGTACGATGTATAGAACCTGCTGCAGCAAAACTGACAT